GCATTTAGTAGCTTACTACCTATTCCATACACCTGCAACATCTGCCACATTGCCTCCCTATCCACTCTTATCATATGCCTTTTCTAAATCCATAAATGCAATGAAAACTTCCTTACCTTCATCTAAATACTGTTCACATATATGCTTCAATGTAAACACGATCTATACATCCCCTACCCACTGTAAAGCCTCCTTGGTCATCTGCAGTCCTACTCTCTGTCTTACCTCTAATTCTTTCAATAATAACCCTACCATACACTTTACTGTACCTGGTATACTCATTAAACTTATTCCCCTATAATTTTTTACATTTTTTTTGTCCCCCTTCCCTTTATATAAAGAAACTATACATGCTCTCTGCCAGTCCCTAGGTACCTTTCCCTCTTTCATACATTTAATAAACAAAAACACCACCCACTATAACACTATATCCTCTGCTTTTAACATTTGTCATGATCCCGTCAGTTCCAGCTGCTTTACCCCCCATTCATTCTACATAATGCCTCATGCACCTCCCCCACACTCACATCCTGCTCTTCTTCACTCCTGAAAGATGTTATACTCCCTGGCCAGTGCATGAAATTATTGCCTCCCTTTCTTCATCGACATTTAAAAGTTCCTCAAAATATTCCCACCATCTACCTAATACCTCCAGTTCCCCATCAACTAACACCCCTGTTCTGTTTTTAACTGACAAATCTATGCGTTCCCTAGGCTTTCTTGTTTATCTCACTCCAAATTTTTTTCTTAGTTTCAGCAAAATTTTTTGACAATGCCTCTCCCACTATCATTTGCTCTCCTTTTGCACTCTCTCACCACTCTCTTCACCTTTCTTTTCTCTCCATATACGCTGCCCTTCTTATATCACTTCTGCTTTGTAAAAACCTCTCATAAGCTACCTTTTTCTCTTTTATCAAACCCTTTACATCATCATTCCACCAATCAATCCTCTTTCCTCCTGCACCCACCCTCCTATAGCCACTAACTTCTGCCCCACATTCTAATACTGTACTGCATTTTTAAAACTATCCAAACCCTCTTCAAACCCCCCCCCCCCCTCCAAGTACCATACTTGCACTAGCCCACCTTTCTGCCAATAGTTGCTTATATCTCACCCTAACTTCCTCTTCCTTAGTTTCTACACTTTCACCTCTCTCTTACTTGCTGTTGCCCTATTCCTTTTGTCTCATCTACCTCTTACTCTAACTGTAGCTACAACTATATAATCCGGTATATCCGTTGGCCCTCTAAAAACATATACAACCTGAAGCCTACCCATCAACCTTTTATCCACCAATACATAATCTAACAAACTATTTTCATTACGTGCTATATCATACCTTGTGTACGACTTATTTATCCTCTTTTTCATGAAATATGTATTACTTGTTACCAAACCTCTTTCTACACATAGTTCAGTTAAAGGCTCCCCATTTTCATTTACCCCTGGCACCCCAAATTTACCTACTACTACCTCCACAACATTTTTACCCACTTTAGCATTGAGATTCCCAACCACAAGTACTCTCTCACTTGGTTCAAAACTCCCCACACACTCACTCAACATTTCCCAAAATCTCTCTCTCTCTCTCTTCCACAGGTGCATAAACACTTACTATAACCCACTTTTCACATCCAACCCTTATTTTACTCCACATAATCTTTGAATTTATACACTTATAATTCCTCTTCTCCTGCCATAACTTATCCTTTAACATTATTGCTACTCCTTCTTAGCTCTAACTCTATTAGAAACCCCTGACCTAATCCCATTTATTTCTTCCCACTGAAACTCTCCTACTACCTTCAGGACATCCAGCTTCTTTTCATTCATAACATCCACAATCATCTCTTTATCATTTGCACAACAACCAAGCACATTCAAACATCCCACTTCAACGGTTTTCTTCTTTTTATTTTTAGTAAGTTATACAGGAAAAGGGGTTACTAGCCCATTGCTCCCGGCATTTTAGTTGACTTTTACAACATGCCTGGCTTACGGAGGAAAAATTCTTATTACACTTTCCCATGAATATGAAAGGAAAAACAATAATAACAAGAACTGTTAAGATAAAATCAAAGAAAACTCAGATGAGTGTGTACATGCATGTGTAGTGTGACCTAACTGTAAGTAGAAGTAGCAAGACGTTCCTGAAATCTTGCATGTTTATGAGACAGAAAAAAGGCTCCAGCAATCCTACCATCCTGTAAAACAAATAGAGGCTTCCATTTCACACTCACTTGGTAGGACGGTAGTACCTTCATTACTATGACACATGGAAAAATCCCCAACTTTTATACTTTCCCATTTGAAAATTTTATGTTATCCTTCAGTGTTAAGCATAAGTAATGTTATTTAGTGTGTTTCAAGCAGTGTGAGAACAGTAGTGGTAGCATGACCATCATTAATGTTTCATCCTTTATTCAACTCTTCACAACTATGTTGGTTTTTACACTTGATATATTTTGTGTAGAGAATGTATGATTACTTTTGTAGCCTCATAGTGCATTGTTTCCTCTGTATATAATTTAACATTTCTTGGCCCTCGTGTATAACTCATATATGTACATGTATAACTCATGCATAATTTGTGTATACTTTGTGTATAAATTATATATACCTTAGGCATAACTCGTATATACATCATTATTATGTGTACCTCATGTGTAACTCGTATACCTCATGTGTAACTCATATATACCTCATGTATAACTCATGTATACCTTATATATGGTAAGTACTCAACCATTTCCCATTCTCCACTCAAAATGTAATGTTATACACAATTTTTAAAATAAGTTGTGGTCAAACTTACAAGTTTTAAACAGAGTAAAACTTTATTGATATCTATTTTTCTTTTTAAGAAATATTTAAATGGTAAAATTGTAAGATATACCATAATGTCAAGAGGTTGGGTTGGCACCACTTGCATGACTCACAAAATTGTAATAACACTGAACGAGTGGGATCTGGATCCATGTCAAGTGGCTTACACTGCCCTGGAGTTTTAGAACTCACTAGCCATAGGTTCAAACCTCACCTCTTCTGTGGTTACCTTTTGTGTCATATCACCACGGACCAGTCATGTCACAAACACAGTGTTCAATGTTGATCATTACAGTGGAGATCAAATTGGGTTTACATACTGCAAAATGATGCTGACAGCATCGATAGATTTTGATAATTAGTAAATTACCCATCAAAGGAATAAACTAGAATTAGTAAAGGTTAACAGGAGAATTACAAAGTGTGTTTATTCACTATTCTGCATAAAAAAAAAAGTACAGTTACAATTTGGTGTTAAACAGCAAATTGGTGTCATTCAACAAAAGAAATTTTTAAAGCAGGAATGAAAGAAATTTTTAAAAAATTTAAAGAAATTTTTTTTAGAGCTTTTTGAAGATTTTTAACCTTTTGTTGTTTAAGAATTTTTTTAAAAAATCAAGAAGTAAATTAGTAAAAGATGTCTAAACTGCACAAAATTTTTAAAAAGATAAAAAGCAGCGGAGTTTTTGTTAAAGTAATAACTACGACTAGGTTCCTGACATCTGGAAGATTAGTGTAGGTTCCAGACATCTGGAAGATTAGTGTAGGTTCCAGATACCTGGAAAATTAGTTTAGGTTCCAGACATCTGGAAGATTAGTGTAGGTTCCAGATACCTGGAAAATGAGTTTAGGCTCCAGACATCTGGAAGATTAGCCTGGGCTCCAGACATCTGGAAGATTAGCCTGGGCTCCAGACATCTGGAAGATTAGCCTGGGCTCTAGACATCTCACATTATCCAGACAGTCTGAGACATGCATCAGGAGAATAGTCATTACTGCAAGAGTTGCATTATAATGTAAATAAGATCCCTTAAAAAGCCAGTGATATGTGGACCACACCGAAGGTGCACCACATTTGACACTAATACAGGAATTCTTATTAATGATGGTCTTCAGAGGAATTTGAATATATTCCTGGAGAGTCACTGATGTGTAGGGAACAGTCAGGAATGTAAACAAGGAATCATTTATGACACCTGGTGAAGCACAAGAAAGAACCGGAGAAGGTTAAGATGTCTGCAACAACACTTGTCATGGGGCTCAGAGGAAAGCGTTTCTCAGAGGGATCAAAGAAATTAATGCATCTATCACAGAGGCAAGGAAAGGAAGTGGAGCATAAGCATAGCATGTGGAATCAATAGACTGAAGACAGTCTGTTAGAGAGAAAACAATTAGGAAAAAGGATTAGGGAAGAAGGGAATAATGGAAAGTGAAGATACACGTGAAGAATAACGACTTGAGAAATACTTTCTATTTTTCTCATTTCACTCAAGACTGGAGTTAACTGTAGGTGTCTGAGGCTTCTTCCATACATTAAGAGACTGTATAACAAAGCCCAAGAAACCTAGAATCTAGTAGAATTTGGCCAAGCTGACCTAAGATGTCGGGTCAGGAGCAGCGACTCAACTGCCCATAAATAAAACTTAACGAGTACAAATTAATTTATAAACAGCACACATGAGAACCATTTCGAATTTTACAACCACCAATCTGTAATATAAATATGTGAAACAACCATTAATTGCACTTGTCTCACAAGTAAAAAAAAAAAAACTTTTTTTGTAAGTTTTTGTCTCCTGTAGAATATATTAAGTTATATTGTGAGTCTCAAGCACAGAACAGTAGCCAGAAACTTTCTAGGACCAGAATAACTTTGGTTCTGTTTCCCAGGAACTTATCAACCACTTTACTGTGTCAGGTCAACTCTGTGGCATTTGATGAAAATTTTAATTAGGAATTTTTGCTTTTAGAAATTTTCAAATTTCAGAAATCATTCTGAACATTAAATCGTAATTTCTGCTTCGGGACATTCTAAACAGGATAAATATTACTAACACTCATAAGCAAACAGCTAAGTCTTCTTAGTCAAAACTAACTTCACATAATGTCTTCCTGTATTTCTGCATGTGCTTAATTAATCTTTGTTAGGAACTAACCATTAAACAACTAACAGATGGGCCTCCAGTGCAGCCTTACCCACCGCAGCCCTGCCCACCACAGCCTTACCCCCCACAGCCCTGCCCACCGCAGCCCTACCCACCACAGGCTGCTCCATATGTGGCCACTGCTCCTCCAGCAGGTATAATCACCTTCAGGGATAATAAGTCACAATACCATGACTGGAACAATACACAAACACATATGCAACAGTTAGGTATCTTTATTTCGAAACGTTTCGCCTACACAGTAGGCTTCTTCAGTCGAGTACAGAAAAGTTGATAGAAGCAGAAGATACTTGAAGACGATGTAATCAGTCCATCACCCTTAAAGTTTTGAGGTGGTCAGTCCCTCAGTCTGGAGAAGAGCATTGTTCCGTTGTCTGAAACAATGCTCTTCTCCAGACTGAGGGACTGACCACCTCAAAACTTTAAGGGTGATGGACTGATTACATCGTCTTCAAGTATCTTCTGCTTCTATCAACTTTTCTGTACTCGACTGAAGAAGCCTACTGTGTAGGCGAAACGTTTCGAAATAAAGATACCTAACTGTTGCATATGTGTCTTACCTAACAATCTGTCGGTATTTTATACTATTTTAATGTTCAATACACAAACAACCCGCAAACAGGAGACTGTGATGACATTTCTACTTGATTTGGACTAGTTAATGGTCTAGATTGGACCAAATCATCATAAGCTTCATTGTCCTGTGTGCAGGTTGTGTGTATAATTACCTTCAAAGATCTCTTTATTTAGACAGTTCTCTCTGAAGCTACACTCAAGGACTGCATCAAGGCTTAATATGCATGTATTTAAGTGGGTTGTTTTCATCTGCATTCTTGGTAAATTAAGGATTGTAGGCAAAACTTCTGGTCAAGACTGCATGCTTTCTAATGCACTTTACTTGCTAACTTACTCACAAATCTATTTACTAACTTGCTAGCCTTTTTGTTAAACTTAGTTTCTAGATTACTTTACTGCTTTAACTTGTAACTTTTACTGCTTCATAAAACTTTGTAACTTAAATATTTTTATCATACAAAGAAGTAAAAGCTTTTGATGGCAGAAATGTCAATTTATTCTATACTAACCAAAAAGGAATTTTTTTACAGGAAAATACAGTTGAATTTGTGTATGATTGCTCAGAAGCATTACTTACAAATTGTCATACTACTGTAAAATTTGTATTGCATACACACTGCTCTACACTACACATTATTTGATGACGTCTTTTTTCAATATTTTGGGAAACATGAATGTTATTTACAAGTTAAGTTCACCCAAAAATTTACTTTTAAATGAATAATCTTGTAACTTGTACCTTTTTATTTTCTTGAATGTCTATCGAAAGTTTCTCTGCTTGCCTATCTAGTACAAAATACATACACAATTATTTGACAGCCCACAGAATGAACAGTATTTTGGGCAGATTTATACCAGTATTAAGACTACATAATGTCCACTGTGTGGACAAAACTTTGTCAGTAGAGAGTCACATTACAGGTGGGCTGTGTTTTCCAGCACTTTGCTAATGCAATGGTTTTCAAATAGAGCCCCACTTTACAGTGCTTTGCTTTACGGCGATTCAGTAATATGGACATTTCAGATTATGACCAAAAATTTGTTTATACAGCTCCCTGATTCACTATTATGGCATCAGCATGCCACTCTATTTGTTTACATCCTCCACTGAATATTTGAAATTTACCATTCTTCACTTATCTATACAAAATATCCACACTTATTATTGTGCCTCCTACACACACAAAACATTATACCATACTCAAATATTAACCCTCCTCTCAAACTCCTCCTTGATAACTACAACAGAACACACAGCCATAATACAAGGCACAAATCACTCTTTGATATCCCTCATGTCCATCTCTCCCTCTACAAAAATGCTATACACATAAAGGGCTCGAAGATCTGGAATTCATTGCATATTAAAGGACCCCTGTTGGCTGCAAATCAATTTAAGGTCCTACTTAGAAATCACCTCATCATCCAAAATTAACCAGACGAACACTATACTTAACACCTACCAGTTATTCAATAAACTCCTAAATAATTTATGACTGCTCAACAATTTGATCATTTACTTCAAACTTAAAATTGTTTCAACTTCATTGTTTTAAATTGTGTTAAATTGTAATACCATATTTTTTATATACAGTGGACCCATCGGTTAACGATCCCATCGGATAGTGATAAAATCATATACTGATGTGTTTTTGCGTCAAAATATTGGCTCGGCTAACGATGAAAAACTCGGTTAAGGACATTTGTCCAGAATGCGTCCGCGCGGCCTGAGCCTCCCTGCCGCCCGGCCACTCTATGTACAGCCAGTGTGCCATTGTATTTATTCTTCATGTCTCATTGTTTTCTGTGTAGGAAAATGTACATTTTATGTGATAAAAAAATGTTTTTTTTTAAATACTTTTGGGTGTCTGGAATGGATTAATTGGATTTCCATTATTTCTTATGGGGAAAATTAATTTGGATAACGATAAATTCAGTTAAAGATAAGCTCTCTGGAACAGATTAATATTGTTAACCAAGGGTCCACTGTATATTAAAACTGTGATTCTTCTCTACCAAACTTATTGACCCTTAAACTGTCCACACGTAGATATACGTTCATGTGCAGTGGGCTCCGAACATATATCAATGCTTTATTTTTTATTCCTTCAAATTTGGTGCGATAGGCCTGAGTCGCCTAGACATGAAAGAATGGGTGTGTGCACTCAGTGTGCGCACTATGAAAAAAATCGGGGACCACTTAGTACCTTGTGGGAGCAACAGTTCAACTGAGTGCCAGCTAGAGCAAACAGCGTGCCAAACACCAGTGATTCACTGATGTCATGTCATATTAACACTCACATTTTAAGAGGAAAGTAAAAATAGGTTAGATAAATGCATGAGTGGGTGTGGGTAGGTGTGAGTTGGACCTGACTAGCTTGTGCTACTGGGTCAGATGTCATGCTCCATCTTTCAATGGATGTGACCTGACTAGGTGGGTTGTTGGTCTAAGCTGGAGGGTGACATAGGCCTGCTTGCATGGGCCAGTAGGCCTGCTGCAGTGTTTTTTCTTTCTTATGCTCTTCTATATTCAGCTGGCTTTGGCTGTCTCTGTCTGTATCTGTCTATGTCTCTGTCTATATAATTATATAAATTAAAATAAAAACGAGAAAAAAGGTAAATCGGCAACACTTCTGCAAGATGCAAGACTGGATGTTGCCGTCAGGTGAGCATCCAGAGACAATTTCACGGTTTTATATCTCAGTAAGTACTGGTCCTAAAATTTTTTTTTTTTTTGGTCTTATACCACACAGAAAATAGCCCTCCTCTTTAATTTAAAAATAAAAAGCGATTTTTTTATTTTTCAAAATATTCGGAGCGCCACGCAGGTGAACGTAGATCTAGGTTTGGACAGTTTAAGGGCTAAAGCCATATAGCGTGAACTAGTTGAATAGTATTCAATTTTCTTGTATTTGTTGTAACTCGCCTAATGACCATATGTACAATTACTGCACTGTTACTGCCTTATTAATCTTAAGTTAGTCTTAAGTTTGCCCAAAATGCTCTGCATATAAAGGGGCTTTTGGCATGTACACCCAATTGTTATATTCCTTTGTACAAACATGTATCATGCTGAAATAAAATTGTTATTGTTGTTAAGATAAGTTATGAGTATACTGTATATGCATTTTATTGCTCTGGGGCACTTTAAGTGTCATATATTACATGTAGTTGTGGTAGCCAGATGGGCTACCATACCTACCACACCTGAATTTCAACAATAAATACTACTAACCTCTCACCCTACACTTAAGACTATAAATATTTTAAGGTAAGTAATGAGTGTACAGTGTGTGTATTTTACTTTTTATTTTTTAATGCCTGCTTTTATTGCTAACTTAATATATGTTAGTGTAAACCTTGTTATCTGGCATTTATATGCATTTATAAATGGAAAAGAAATGGGGTTCCACTTTACGGCAGTAGCCTGGAACCTAACCTGCCATATAAGTGGGGCCCTACTGTGTATATTTTATAAATGGTCTTACAGTTGGTACATAATGCAGGCTGCTGAGAGAAATGTACCGTCCTGGCAGACAGACACAGCCACTCCAGGAAAAAATTGTTTATTCCAAACTTTACTGATAACTTGCAGGTATCTCCACCTGTCAAAGATGACGGAGTGGCTCAAAAGGAATGAGGTGACAGCTGAAGTCAGCACACATCTAGGAAACAAGTTGCAGTATCTTGGATAAAGCATAGAGGCCAAGACAAAGACCCAAGTTAAGGAGTGTTAAGGTCTGCCACATAAAAGGGGACTGTGTTATCAAGCAGGTCAGCAAAGTGCCCCTCAGGATAAAAGTTTGTGGACCACAGACACAATATAAATTATAATCAAAACTAAGTGTTAAAATATAAAAAGAATCCATCAGTGCAGATGCAGTGTACACACACAGAGAGAACGTGAGCATCAAGAGGAAGACTAGAGGATGAACTGACAAAAAGACCAGACAGACCAGGGTCCCTCAACCACTCTGCCATTATCTTGACCCTGTGAAGATAACAGCAGGAAGTGGCTCAGAGTTCTTAACTGTAGATATGACTGAGAGGTAACACACACACATGGACAGGGAGAGTGACCTAAGTAGCGACAGTGAAGAGGAGGGTCCAGGAGCTGTTGGACTGCCCACTCTGTCAACGAGCATGTAGAATTTACTTATAACATCGTCACCGCTCTACTGCCCTTACTTTACCTTCCCTTCTTGCTGATGGACCCTCCTTTCACCCCGACTCTCTCACTGACTTTGTGACAGCAACTGATTTACTGCACAAACTCTGATGATGATGTCTAGTACTCCTTATGGCCTTTTCTGCCTCAGTCTGTTGCTACCCCTCTACCCCTGCACTATCCACTGCCCTGCTGCACTCCATGACCTAATAATCATCCCTCTCCCTCTTGCTGCCCATTACCCCTGCATCCTTCCCTGCCGGCGGCGCTGTATGACCATTGTAGGTTTAGTGCTTCTTTTTGATTATAATAATACATAATGGGACCAGGGACTGGGCTGCGTAGTGGTAATGAACTATATACATGTTTATATTGGAGTCATGCGAGACCACCACCAGCCTGGAGGAGCAGAGAATCAACTGCAGACACCTAGAGGTGGGATCACTGTGGATCACTACTAGGAAAGATAAAGTCACACCCTGAATTGTAAAGGCTGCAGCAGAGGGCACACCAACCACAGGAAAATCCTTTGAGAACAAAAATAAATGGAAAGTGGCTGAAGGCAGTAGGCAAAACATGAGGAGCTTCCAGAATTAGGGAAATGATTATCTGTGACCTGCAGTTTCTCCCAGATTATTATTAGTATTATTATTATCAAAAAGAAGCACTAAAACATAGGCTTCCCGAAAACATGGGTCGAGTCTCACACATGACTCAATCATATCAGTGTTTCAGTAAAGAAGAGCCATCTTGATCCTAAGACACACACGATGATACAAGAGAAGAATCACATGGAGAGAGCAGAGGCACACAAGGTCCATACAAGCAATAAGATTACCAGGGTTAGGAAAGGCTAGGTATTAGAAAAGGGGAGGTATTAGAAAAGGCTAGGTATTAGAAATAGGCTCCCACAACACAAACATTACTTCAGAAACAAGTGTAAGTCTCTCGGTCTTACTATTTAATTAAATCATGTAAATATTTCACTTTTCAGGTTACAGAGCCAGCAAAATTGTTAATTATAATATTTTTGTTGTCAGGTTATCCAGGGGGCGGCAGCAACCTCCAGCGTACACCCATCAGTACCAGCCCAACACTCAACTCCACAATAGTCACACTATTTTATGTCGGTTGTTTCAATCTTCAGTGTTGTCGTTTGCAATGCAGACTGCCGAGTGCAGGCAAAAAAAAATTTAAGCTAATTTTGTTTGCTAGGTTTAGTATAAAGTAGAAATTTTCGTCTCTGTACAGATGCTTCATTATTTTAGCTTATTTTAATAAAAGGTTTATTTTAATTGTCTAAATAATGTATCTTTTTTTATATATTTATGATAAAGAATATAGCACAGTCCACCTGCTTAACCCTTTGACTGTTTACGCCATATAAATACGTCTTACGCGCCACTGTTTCTGACGTATATATACTCAATACGTAATTCTAGCGTCTTCAAATCAAGCGGGAGAAAGCTGGTAGGCCCACATGTAAGAGAATGGGTCTGTGTGGTCAGTGTGCACCACATAAAAAAAATCCTGCAGCACACAGTGCATAATGAGAAAAAAAAAACTCTGATCGTTTTTTTGGATTAAAACGCCGACTTTGAGGTGTATTTTCATATAGTATTTATCGTTGTATTCACATTTTCATGGTCTTAGGTGATAAAATGGAAAACACATTATAGAAATAGAGATGATTTTCATTACTTTGACGAAGAAAACGACCTTGAAACCGAGCTCAAAGTAGCGGAAATGTTCGATTTTTACCAATGTTCAGTCCAATACACGTCAACTGGGGAGTCTAATATTCTTTCACTAGTGCACTGATATTATTTATACCATTTTTACAATGATGCAGTAGTCTGCATAACAGTAAATTTTGTATTTTTTTGTATGGCAATAATAATATAAGAGGGGCCTAGAGATGTGACTAATGAACAGAGGATATGTTATTTTAGTGCCAAGAATGTCTACCTTGTTTATTCTGGACCCTATTTTGAAATTGGCATCTTTTTTAATTTGCGTGAAATTGGCCAAATTGCCATTTTCTGACCACTATATTGGGTAGTTCAAATTGGTAAATGGGCGGTTTCTTGTACTCAGCTGATAGATAAAATGGAGTTCTAAAGAAATAGCTATGAGTTTGGTCAACTGGAACAACGGAATTGGCTGAAAACAGAGCTCAAAGTCAGCGAAATTGCCGATACGCATATGTCGCCGAGACCGTTAACTTCGCGGGAGCGTAATTCCGTGAGTTTTCGACCAAATTTCGAACTTTTGGTGTCATTACCATCGGGAAAAGATTCTCTATCATTTCATAAGAAAAAATAATTTTTTTTTTTTCAAAAATTTTTCGACATAGAATGACAGTTTCAGAAAGGGGCTTGCGACAGTCAAAGGGTTAAAGCATTATTCTTCTAAGTATGATCAAGAATTTATCTTACCAGGTATATATATTTCTAAATTAAGAACGTGTTGTCTATAATGTCATTTTTAACCTGTCTAGACTTTTTTTTAAGTTACTTATTAGTTTAATAAATAATGTACATGCTTATACAGTACTGAAAGTATTGAAAAGTTATGGTGATGAAATGTCCATAAAAATGTTCATTTGAACGACATTGCTGTGATTACAGGAATGATATAAATGTGTCTTACAAATGCCTCCCAAGTGTTAGTGTTCTTACTGTAACTTTACTGATCCTTTACTGAGTTGCAAAACTGGTGTTTATTTCTGATGACCATAAACATATGTGGTAATGTTGCAATGTGTGGTAATGTTGCAACAAGTGATAATGTTGAAACATGAGGTAATATTGCAATATGTTGTAATGTTGCAACATGCAATAATGTTGCAACATATAGCAAAATTACAATATTTAAAATTCATGTGAAACACTGTAATAAATCGCTGCTCTCTTTTAAAACTATAAATTTGTGGAAATAACTCTTTTAGAAGTACCAGATGAATCAGGTTATGACAGACACACAGCCTGGTTGTACAGGCAACCAAGAGAAAAGCCCAGTTGCAGGCTGGGCTACCAATGAGAATTAAATTCTCACAAATATATATCTATGATATATGCATGAAATATACTCATTGATTCATGACTTGCAACTAGTATACTCCTAGATAATATATATATGTCCAGTGTGGGTAGATTGGTAAAGCACTGCGTACCTTGTCCTAAGGTTCGTAGGTTCGAGTCTCCTTCAGCCAGAGATCAGTGTTTATTTATATATATATATATAATATATATATATATATATATATATATAATATATATATATATATATATATATATATAATATATATATATATATTATATAATAATATATATATATGCATGCATGTTGTGCCGAATATGTAAAACTGGTCAATTAGCAAAAAACTCATTTAAAATTAAGTCCTTTCTGAAATTTTCTGCTGTATAGCCCTTGTGGCTTAGCGCTTCTTTTTGATTATAATAATAATCTGAAATTTTCTCTTATACGTTTAAAATATATTTTTTTCATTATTGTTAATGTAAAAAATTTTAATTTTGCACCAAAAGAATCTTAGAAAACTGGCCTAACCTTATTATAACAAGAGTAATTTATTTTAGCCTAACCCAGCTAAGTATATTTTAAATACGTTTAAATAACTTAGTACTAAACAAACACAATCAAATATATTTTTTTTTGTTAGGCTCAGAATGATTTTGGCAAAATTATTGCATACACAAATTTTCACTTGTCCTATATGGCAAGATGAACGTTGCTATTTAAGCCAAGATCGCAAGTTCTGCCTATTCGGCACGATATATATATACAGGTCTCCCTCAACATTCGCGTTTTCAACTTTCGCGGGCTTCACACATTCGCGAATTCCCAACCGCCAAATCATATTTAAGTTTACCGCCACTAGTCCTTACTACCCTCCCTCCGACCCCTGCAACTGGCAGCCAGCCCTCCCACCACTGTGTGGTGAGTGTTTTGTTTGTTTATTTGCTATTAAACTACAGTATAAATAATGTAAACCCATTCATGACTGCATATTAGAATGGCTATTCAGACAGGTATTGGAAGGTGACATCATGTGTTTACTCTTGAACACAGCAAAGAATCAAACATTTCTGCTACTGCTAATAATAATAATAATAATAATAATAATATTAATATAATATAATATAATATAATATTAGTATTTTCTTTTTGGGGATTTTCTTTCTTTTTTTTTGGGTCACCCTGCCTTGGTGGGAGACGACCAACTTGTTGAAAAAAAAAAAAAAAAATTAATATAATAATAATAATTATAATGATAATAATAATAAATACGATTGAATTGAAGAAGGAAATTGTACAAAAATACGAGGGTTGAAGCAGTGGTGGAGGAAGTGGTTGATGCATCGTCAGTGTGGCTTTGTTTATGCTGGAGTGAGTATTAGTCTCCGTGCTCTTCCAAACATTTCACAATAATTCATTGTATTTGGTGCTTTTTAGATTGAGTGTGACTGGAGTGGTTGAGGCAGTGGTAGAGGCAGTGGGTGAGGCAGCAGTTGAGGCAGTGGTAGAGGCAGTGGGTGAGGCAGTGGTTGAGGCAGCAGTTGAGGCAGTGGTAGAGGCAGTGATAGAGGCAGTGATATTTACTAACATATATGTTATAAATAATAATAATACATTATGAATAACATTTATTATTATTATTTATTATTATTATTATTATAAATGTTATTAATATTAACATGTACTTTTAATTTTATAGCTTTATATGTTAGTAAACACCACTGCCTCACCCACTGCCTCCTATCACTGCCTCTACCACCCCTACTACCCTGCCTCACCCACTGCCTCTCCTTTTCACCACTGCTCAACCACTCCAGTCACACTCAATCTACAAGCACCAAAATACAATGAATTATTGTGAAATGTTTGGGAAAAGAGCACGGAGACTAATACTCACCCCAGCATAAACAAAAAGCCCACTGAGAGCATCAACCATTTCCTCCACCCTGCTTCAACCCTCGTATTTTTTGTACAATTTCCTTTTCAATTCTATGTATTTATTATTACTATTATTATTTTTTTTTTTTTTTTTATTATCACCCCGGGCCGATTCCACCAAGGCAGGGTGGCCCCGGGGAAAAAGAAAAACTTTCACCATCATTCACTCCATCACTGTCTTGCCAGAAGGGTGCTTTACACTACAGTTTTTAAAACTGCAACATTAACCCCCCTCCTTCAGAGTGCAGGCACTGTACTTCCCATCTCCGGGAAACTCAAGTCCGGCCTGCCGGTTTCCCTGAATCCTTCATAAATGTTACTTTGCTCACACTCCAACAGCACGTCAAGTATTAAAAACCATTTGTCTCCATTCACTCCTATCAAACACGCTCTCGCATGCCTGCTGGAAGTCCAAGCCCCTCGCACACAAACCCCTTTACCCCCCTCCCTCCAACCTTCTAGGCCCCGACCCCTACCCCGCCTTCCTTCCACTACAGACTGATACACTCTTGAAGTCATTCTGTTTCGCTCCATTCTCTCTACATGTCCGAAACCACCTCAACAACCCTTCCTCAGCCCTCTGGACAACAGTTTTGGTAATCCCGCACCTCCTCCTAACTTCCAAACTACGAATTCTCTGCATTATATTCACACCACACATTGCCCTCAGACATGACATCTCCACTGCCTCCAGCCTTCTCCTCGCTGCAACATTCATCACACCACGCTTCACACCCATATAAGAGCTTTGGGTTTAAAACTATACTCTCATACATTCCCCTCTTTGCCTCCAAGGACAAAGTTCTTTGTTTCCACAGACTCCTAAGTGCACCACTCACTCTTTTTCCCTCATCAATTCTATGATTCACCTCATCTTTATCCATAGACCCATCCGCTGACACGTCCACTCCCAAATTATCTGTAATACGTTCACCTCCTCCATACTCTCTCCCTCCAATCTGATTATTCAATCTTCATCACCTAATCTTTTTGTTATCCTCATAACCTTACTCTTTTCCGGTATTCACCTTTAATTTTCTTCTTTTGCACACCCTACCAAATTCATCCACCAATCCTCTGCAACTTCTCCTTCAGAATCTCCCAAGAGCACAGTGTCATCAGCAAAGACAGCTGTGACAACTCCCACTTTGTGTGTGATTTCTTAATCTTTAACTCCACGCCTCTGCAAAACCCTCGCATTTACTTCTCTTACAACCCCATCTTTAAATATATTACTTTATTATTATTATTACTATTATTATTATTATTATTATTATTATTAGCAGTAGCAGTAGCACAAATGTTTGATTCTTTGCTGTGTTCAAGAGTAAACACATGATGTCACCTTCCAATACCTGTCCGAATAGCCATTCTAATATGCAGTCATAAATGGGTTGACATTATTTATACTGTAGTTTAATAGCAAATAATGAACAAACAAAACACTCACCACACAGTGGTGGGAGGGCTGGCTGCCAGTTGTGGGGGGTCGGAGGGAGGGTAGTACTGACTCGCAGTGGTGGAGGCAGTTTATTAAGCCATACTGTATGTATTTAGTACAATTTACGACATTTTCATGTATTTTATGATTGTTAATGGTTCGACAAGTTAAGGAAGCAGTATTGTATTATATTTCCCTACAA